GACAATAATACGTTTCTTTTTAAGTACATCTCTTAAAATGTGATTTAATTAAACATTACATCATAAATTTGGTTCATCCTTTCTCACCGAGTACAATTGTTGAAATCAAATATATTTATAAAATAAACCAATTACAAAATGGTCTGAATTCACTGAATGTATGATATTATGTTATCGATGATATTATACCCTCTGTCTACTTTATTCACGCTAAAATAATTCGACAGATTGGAATGTACTAAAATTGGAATGATATTTTTACTATACTTATTATATTTAAAGGGCGGCGGTCGTCGTGCCGCGTCCTGTTCGATATAGGACTCATAGCGACGTACGTGTGAAATACATTGTTCATTTACATGAAATTCGAACACGCGCTGCGCGACGACCACCGCGCTTTAATGTTGATTTAAATACAGACGCAATATGTAAAAACATTTTTTCTGATTCTCTCTTTATTCGGTATGATAATGAGGAAGTGTGTCATTGTGTTGTACTTACGTTCGCTGGTTTCCATGGTGATGTTCCAATCTGCAATACCCTGATGACCTGATGATTCTTTGAAATTATAATGACTAATTATAGCTCGGAATGGGTTGCGAATTAACACGATGGCAGAGGCGAACGAGTCAGTACCCCTTGTCCGACGTCGGATGTGCGTCTTAATCACGATTGTTCTGCCTGTTTTTCTGTCCAACATCTCTCCCAAGAAACCTGCATGAAATTATAGATTGGGAGTAATATTTGAGCATATTTAATGCGTGTGGATATTTTATGTAGAACTACATTTATGAATACTGATTTACGGAGTATTTTGAATTGATTGGTACGTACAGTTTAATCACAGCGCATGCGCATTTAAATAGTTGGTAATATATATGTGGTAATAACAATATTTTGTTTTAAAAGTATCACTTATATATTGATTTGGAGACATGTGATCAAATATTCGTTTTTTTACACGGTACGAAATATTTGTTTGGAAGAAACAAGTCTCGTGGCACTCTCGCCTAGCAACGAGATTTCAGCGGCAATTTCTAAGGTCTAATGGCGAGCACAGCTGCGGGTGTTGTTATATGTTCACCAATATTATATAGAAGACAGGATGGCTTGATTGTGATTAACTAACCTGGACAGTATTTATTTCATGTAGGCAGCCATGATGAGAAGAACAATGCATCATGGGTATATTTGTAGACTAGCCTATTGAGGGCGCTGTATACATAATAAGGCCAGGATATAACATCCCTTCTTGTTTTAAGCAAAAGTATCATTCAAATAGTTCTTACAATGTATCGAAGATATCTCTGAAGAATGTTAATATCAATGGTATTTGAAAATATTGAAAAGTTCAACTCGACGATATGGTAATACATGTCCTTAATATGGTTGAATTCGACTTAGTAATCACAATTTTAACAATGAATTCAATGAACTTGAAGAAGTAACTAATTAATAATAACACTCAAG